AAAGGCAAGTGCGATCTCGTCGCCATCATTCTCTCCAGGTTTCGAAGGATTGCCCTCGAATCTAACACGATCTCGTCGTCGTCCGAGTTGTCACCGTGGAAAGGGCACCAAATGTTTGACATTGAAGACATCCGAGGTACGTATGTGAGATGGAAGACGAAGCCGATAGGCATTATGATTAATTTTCTCTACGATTTCAACTGGGCCTATCTTTCGGGCCACAAGTTTGTTGTGCTCATGGGCGGCAAAGCGATCCTTCGTCAACACGGCCCATACAAAATCCCCTACCTCAAACTCGACATGTCGTCGTCGATGACCATCCGCTTGTTGCTTATACGCTGCCATCGTCAACTCGAGGTTGACCTTCGTCGTCTCATGTGTGCAACGTAAATCTGCCATGAAGTCCTCTGCCCGTCGGTCCACTTGCGTCGTCGCCGGTAAGCTCAATAGGTCCGCCGGCCCCTGGGGTCGGACTGCATACACGACCTCAAACGGCAAAAACTGAGTAGCCCGGCTCACAGCCAAGTTATGCGCGAACTCGGCCTGACTCAACCTCGTATCCCAACTACGCAAATTTTCACCAACCAAACAGCGCAACAGATTTCCCAACGAATGATTGACAACCTCTATTTGACCATCGGTCTGCGGGTGATAAGCACTGCTAAAATCTAACCTCGTATTCGCCAGGCGCCACAGACTCCGCCAGAATAATGTAAGAAAACGCATATCGCGTCAGAAACAATAGACGAGGGAAGACAATGCAAGCGATATACCTTACGAAAGAAAAGCTGAGCGAAGTGCAGGGCATCCGTGGTCCGCTTGCAACGGATAAAATAGACCATCTTGGAGAAACGGTTGACGATGACAAAAATCGAATCATGACCCCGTTGAGTGCGGGGCAAACAAAGAACAAAGTCCATGCTGGCCGCACTCCAAGGCTGCGAAGGAATGGGTAACGGGCGATAGAGGCCGGCATTAGACGCCACCCCCTTGGAAACTTGACAAATGCGGCAACGCTCGACCAAACGGGAGACGTCACGTCGCAAGGACGGCCAAAAGTATGATCGCCGAACAAGGTCAATGGACCGATCCCGACTGACATGGCCCACGTCGTGAAGGTCAGCAATCAAGCGAAGGCGTAAAATGCAATCTGGTAGACAAAGTCAGATGCCCCGAATAAGAAACCCATCAGAAAGAATGTAGTCCTTGTACGGGCCGGTAGCAAGCCACGACATAGTAGGCCCGAAAAAAGAATTTGTCGCATAAAGATCGCGCATTAAGTCAAAACCCACTACCATAATATGAAAATCAATCAACACGATCAAACGACGACTCAAGCATCTGCCACTCGGTTGGAAGCACCCGAGCTATGCTTTAACAAGAAAGTAAACTACTGCAAATAGGAAGACCAAGTAGAATGGCGGGCAGAAATCCCGCCCTGAGAACCAAGGTGTCGTAAGGCCTCATGATCAGTAAACAGAATGAATCTTTGCTAAAAGAGGTAATGTTGCCAATACTGCACAGCACGAAACACCGCATACAACTCGATATCATAAGTGTTGTACCGAAGTTGAGGACCCGACAACTTCTCACTAAAACAGGAAACTGGCCGTCCCTCCTGGCTCTAAACAGCTCCAATCCCAACCTTAGACGCATCGCAAGCAAGCTCAAATGGTCGGGAAAAATCCTGCAAAACCAAAACAGGGGTCAATGTCAGCTTTTGTTTGATAGGAGCGAAAGCCTCAGCGGCCTGAGCAGTGCACACAAAGGCTTTCCCGGTAAGGCAATCGGTGATGGGGGTCGTGATCATGCTAAGATGAAAGATAAACCGCCAGTAAAAAGAAGCCAGCCCATGGAAGCTGCGGGCCTCAGTAAAAGAAGTCGGAGTAGGCCAATCTCGAATCGCTTCAACTTCGTTGTCATTGACTCAAATCCCATAGAAGAAACCACGAAGCCGAGAAATAAAACCGAATCAATAAGGAAGAAACACTTATTCGGGGCTGCAAAGAATGACTCGGCTCGTAGGATAAGTAGGACCTCCCGGACATGACCCAGATGCTCCTCCTTAGAGCGACGGTAAATAAGAATGTCGTCGAAATAAACGACGACACACTTGTCGATTAGCTCACGAAGGGTCTGATTCATAACACGCATGAAGGTGCTTGGTGGATTCGACAACCCGAACGACATTACTAACCACTCAAAAAGACCCTCGCAAATTTTAAAAGTGGTTTTCCATTCGTCTCTCGGGCGAATGCGGATTTGGTGATAACCGCTCCGAAGGTCCAACTTAGTAAAGATCGAGACACCATACAACTAATCAAGCAAATCATTGAGGCGAGGAATAGGAAACCGATAACCTACCGTGATTTTGTTAATAGCCCGACTGTCCACACACATCCTCCAGGAGCTGTCCTTTTTAAGCAAAGTCGGGACGGCGCACGGACTCAAGCTTCGACGAACAAGCCCGCTGTAAAAGATCCTCCACATGGCATCTTAATTTATCATGCTCTGCCGGAATCATGAGGTAATGGGGCCAGTTAGGAAGAGGCGCCTCGACACCAAGTCAATTTGATGTTGTATGTCACGTAAAGGAGGCAGACTGACAAGTAAATCAACCTGGATCACATCAGAAAACTCAGCTAGCAAAGGCTGAACCGCGGTGGAAGGCCCGCGGTCAGGTGACGGGTCTGAGCCCAAAAGCAGGAGATCAAATGGTGCAGCCTTCATTTCCTACTCAAATGCGACTTTCGAAAGAAGGAATACCGGAGATGGTACAGGCGAGGAAAGAGGGCGAGGTGGATTAGGATGCAAAACAATTTTCATTCCCTGAAAAGTGAAGCTGTAGGTATTGAGTCGACCAACATGATGAACATCACGGTCAAATTGCCACGGGCGACCCAAAAGAAGATGACAGGCGTCCATCGGGACAACATTAGACAAAATCGAGTCCCGATATATATCACCAATAGAAAATGCCACCAAAACATGATGGTCAACTGTGATAGCATTTCCACGTTGAATCCACGCGAGGGTGTAAGGGTAAGGATATGGCCCGGTAGAAAGGTGAAACTTATTGATGGCCTCCTGCGTAATCACATTTTCACAAGAGCCTGAGTCTATGATGAAATGACAAATCTTCCCTTCAGTCGTACAAGCCGACTCAAAAAGATGAGACCTCTAAATAAGCTCGTCCGACGCATGACGAGGTGCCAAACAAGCCCGACAAAGAACTAGGGCATGCTCGACATCCCCCATGAAATGTTTCTCCTCAATCGTCCCCTTATCATTATAAACCGTCGGGCACATATAATCACCAACATCCTCATCGTCACCTCCCTCACCTGAAAATAATGCTCGAGAGCCATGAGCCCGTGGACACGCAGACTGACGGTGTCCCAGCTCACCACACAAAAAAAGCAAAAGCCCGAGGCTGTCCGCGATCCCGCTGGAGGACCACCTGTCGCCGCTGAAGGACCCCCCGTCGACAAAATGGACCGCCCTCCAGCCTCCCTCGAACCAAACACCTGTTAGGATCCACCCGCCGCCCTCGCTCAACACGATAACGGACCCGCGGCAGTGAACCCGAGGCCCGACCTGCTTGCCGACAGAAAAGAGGGCCCTGCTCTCAGGCCGAGCTGCTGTTCAACGAGCACCGCCCGCTGGTGGGCATCCAAAAGATCAACTGGCGCAAATAAATTTAACGTATCCTACAAAGGAACTCGCAAACCACCAATATATCGAGACACGAGTTGATCTATCGACTCGCAAAGTTCAACTCTCGTCATGAGGCGATAAAATTCGTCGGTATATTCATTAACCGTTCGATTACCTTGACGTAAATTTTGGAATTGTTGATAAATAGTACGAAAATAACTATACGAGAGGAACTCACGCTCAAGGTGTTTTCGAAATTTCGCCCAAGACGTTACCTCTGATTTCTCATGTCGGCGGCAGAATTCCTTTAATTGCTGCCACCAAGCGACGGCTTGGCCACGAAATCGTGTCGCCACCCAGGCTACACGCCGGTCATCCGGCACCTCTTTGAAGTCAAGTGCGGTCTAGACCGCGGCCAACCAATCCAAGAACTTCGAAGCGTCCAAGCCTCCTGAGAATTCTGGGATACAACATGCGAGGAGGATTCCCAACGTCGATCATCGTATTGACCCTCATCCTCAAGTGCGTGTTGTCCGAACGGGTTGTAATCGTAAAGGGTGTCGTCGCTGTCACCCTCGCCATTCCATGGATTAAGCAACTGGCCGCGGGGCACACCACGTCCACCCCGACCGCGTCCTCCGAATGCTCCACCGTGTCGTACGCCCAAGCCACAGTTCGTTCGATCATTCGTGTGAGCAGCGTGTCCAACCATTCGGTCCTCGAAACCCTTTACCAAATCGGTGATTCGTCGATCCATGAGGTCAAATTATCGTCCGAAGCCGGTTTGCATTTCACTGAGCTGACGGGTGATCATCTCAATAGCGGCATCGACGGTATCGTTCTTCTTTGGCGGAATCTTGGAACCTACTGTTCTCTGGATACCAACTGACGCGGTGAAAGATTAACGAAGGAACAGAGAACTCAAGAACAAATATTTTTTATTATTGTAATCAATCAATCCTTCAACATCTGCCAAAACCTCTTAATAAATAGAGTTCCTAACAACCAAAACTCTTAACTTAATTTCCTAAGAAGAGAAATAATAAATTTCAAAACCAACTAAATAAAATAAGTCACTAAATAAATAGGATATGCTAAATGAATAAAAATAGGAAACTGAATAAAAGATAACGATCAATGACGACATCGATCTCGTTTCTCCAGAAAAGCAAGTGCGATCTCGTTGCCATCATTATCTCACTAACATTTATACTAATGTTTTTAGTATATATATTTATACTTTGATATAAGAGAATATAATAGTTTTACTTATTCTTGTTCACCATATAATACATAATTACTATTTTATTATAAACTTTGTTGTTATATAATCCCCTTCCCCCTTATGATATGGTCCGAGATGAGCGGCTCCGATCTTTCAGAGGGTTCTTCCCGGTTATGACGTAGGTACGCTTGATTCGGTTCAGTCCAAGTTCGCTTGTTCGTCGGTACCTGATAGAGTCAGAATTACTCCGGCGCCAGACCCTCCGACGCCCAATCTCGGATTAGAGATAATTGTTTGTGAAGAATGTAATAGTAATGTATTAAATGAGGTCTCTGTTTGTACCATTGTCGAATTTACCCTTTATATAGTGATTAAGCGTATGGCCTTCCACGCAGTGACTTAAAGGGCGAGACTCGACCCTTTAGACCGGTTGGATCCCAGTCAAGTCCCTTCATCGGTCGATACCACCGTTGGTGTTCGAACCCTCGGATCGTTCAGCTCTCGGTCGAGCCTTAGCCGGTCGACCAAGGATCGATCCTTAGGTCACTCGACCCCCTGTTCGTCGTGTGTCTTTTATCGGTCGACGTTCCGCCCCTCGACCGTTTAGCTCTCGGTCGAGCATTAGCCGGTCAACATAGGGTCGGTCCTCGGGTCACTCGACCCCCGGTCGTTGTGTGCCTTCAATCGGTCGACCTCATTCGACCCTCGGTCTACCATATGTCCTTGAACTCGATCGGTTCTATTTTGGGTACTATTATCCCTATCACCTTATATTTTAGTTCAGAACGCCTTGAGCCTAAGTGGTAGACTCGCATATTTCGAGATCCTATGTGGCAAAATTACATTATTTTTTATTAGGCCTGGGTAGTTTTAATTTACTCCAAATCCAAAAATAATTAGGTTCGAATTATGCACAAATATGTTGATTATTTATGGTCATGTTACATGTATTAATTGCATTTTAATATAATTTTTTATTATAGCCATTGAATTGTAAATGTATTTTAAAAGTTTATTACTTTTTTTTTATTTTCTATCAGTTTTACATATATAATAAATGAATCAAATTAATCATCTTTTGATTAATTTCGATTTATCACATATTGTATGTATAAATAAACTATATATTTATTTTCCTTTATAACGATAATAAAATTATTTTTTTATTTTAATTAAAGAATAAAATTATTTATCAATTAATATATTTATGGTTCAAGTAGTTATATGATATAAGTTATAAAAATTACTATAATATAAGACATGTAAGTGGTACAAGTAACAAGTGTCATTCTGACTCAATTCGATGTAATTGACCTCCTGTCTATTTTTTTTGTAAAAAAATTAAAATAAAATATTTTTCTCATTAATTTATAATTCATGAGATGTAACTAGTGCGAAGAATATCTCTTATAGAAATAGTTAGCGCTATGATGAGGTACACTATATTACGTATGAAATAATTCATCCCCAAAGGATTACCCTATGTGCCCGCATGGTTGTCTGTTTTTGTGTTCAGGTAGCCAGAATTGAACGCAAAGATCTTTATTGTCTTCTTTGTGTGTGTGTGTGTGTTCACGTGAAGCTCCGTTTTCCTTCGTATTATTTTTACATTTTTGTTTGTGCGAAGCTCCGTGCTTGTTTGGCCGGTGGTAAACAAGGACGAATAAAGCGCAAAAACCATCTCCATTTTTTCGGCGAAGTATTAAACTGTCTAGATTATTCTCCTCTTTGTCCAATATTGTTGGTGTACACAGTCAAACTACTTCTGGGTCGACAACTATGAAGTTAACAAGCAAATGTGTGAATCAAGGAAAATATTAAAGTAAATGGTGTTTGGGTGCATAGCCATTTCCCTTCAGAAGAGAGCTTTAATCACTTGTGGTACAGAAAAATGATGCTGAAGATGAAGAATCCAGCCATCTGCAAAATATGTTTCAAATTTGTAATGTCAACACACACAAAAACCCCATACCCCACACAAAACCACATGCACGCAAACACACACACACACACACACACACACACAGAGAGAGAGAGAGAGAGAGA